GGTGATGCTTGGGATCATCATGGGGGTCCAACCCAAGATTTGCACGACTCTGACTTTGAATGTTACAGTCATTGTGGCATTGAATTCCAGGGTGGAAACATCAGTTTAATTGTTTTAGTGACCAGAAAACAAATTTTGATATGCGTCGGCTTACCCAAAATGAAAGGTTACGTGCCCTTGGCATGCTACAGATCGGCACAACACAGGCGGTTGTGGCGCGGACGATGAATGTTTCTCAGTCTGTCATAAGCAGGCTATGGTCCAGATACCGTGATACACAATCTGTACAGGACAGACCACGCTCAGGTCGACCAAGGGCGACAACTCAAGCCCAGGATCGATTTATCCGTACCTTGGCCTTGAGAAATCGTGTCATCACAGCAAATCAGATCAGCGCTCGTCTTCAAACAGACACTGGTGTGAGAGTGAGTGGCCAGACGATTCGGAATCGACTGCATAGGGGTCACCTTCGCGCCCGACGTCCTCGCGTTATCCCTTGTTTGAGAGATCATCACATTCAGGCAAGACGTCGTTGGTTTAGGGATCGTCAACACTGGGATAATCGACGCTGGAGCAATGTGATGTTTTCAGATGAGTCAAGGTTCACTGTTGACTTTTTGGACAGACGTAGGAGGGTGTGGCGTCGTCGAAACGAGCGCTTCCAAGACGTTAACGTCATCAGACATGATCGATTTGGGGGTGGTTCTGTTATGGTGTGGGGAGGCATCACTGTTGCTGGAAGAACGGCTTTACATGTTGTTGCAGGGCGTGTACAGGCCAGTACTACCGGGACAACATCTTGGCAGTCCATGTTGTGCCGTTCGCACGACGTCATGGCCGCCGTTTCATCTTCCAGGATGACAACGCAAGATGTCACAGGGCCAGGATCGTTACAGGTTACCTCCAACAACAGAACATCACCACATTACCTTGGCCAGCACTGAGTCCCGACCTCTCCCCCATCGAGCATGTCTGGGACATGCTTGGACAGAGGTTACGTCAACGTCAACAACGTCCTGCCAATGTCCAAGAACTTGCTGCTGCGTTGCAACAGGAATGGGACAATCTGGACCAAAATGACCTTAGACGTCTCATTAGGAGTATGCCACGTCGGATCAATGCTTGTTTGGCAAACAGAGGAGGATTTACCCGTTACTGACTTGGTTGTGATGCTGTGGTAACTTTGCTGTTTGACCCCGGGTATCATTTTACCCTTATAATGGTCAGTCTGTGCCTTACTTAGTCTAACGATCATTTGGAATAAATCGATGAATGTGAACTTCATTTCATTTTGTCATTTGTTTCTTCGTCAGTTTCATTAGGTGACTTTAATAACACTTAAAAATCAAATATCCCCTACTTTTTTTGAATAGTATATTTGAGATTAAGGTGAACTTTTGTTTCAGCAAAGAACGCATCCATCGCCTTTAGGAAATAAACTGAAATGGGGGTTAACGCCAAGAGTTCTTTTACGTGTACACCCAAGAGTACACGTTTGGACATCTGTTGTAGGTCTCATTCGAACAACCAGACGATTTTCCTAGGCAAACCTTCTATCTTGCACCACCGACAAAGGGAAACCGGGCATATAAATTACGAGGACCGCACCCGATATTCTTGATTAGTGAACCATAGTGATTCTCAACGAACCGCCGTGACTCCCCATCGATTTTAGAAAACTTGACGGTGCTTTAATTGTTATTAACTTCACTTCCTAAATATATATGTAGACAACGCCAGAATATAGCTCGTGTTCAAAATAATGATACGTTTCTTTTTTTTATTATATTAAAATGCACCACTGATTCAGAGATAACGTTAGCGACGGATTAATTCATAAGGACTTGAGAGACTGCAGTCCACTGGTTTCCATCGGCTGCTGACCCCCCAGAGATGATATAAGAATAATAATACGGCACCTATAAGTGCTAACATACAACTATAAAATAATCGTTCTGGGGCGATGTTTACACATATTAAAACACATGGTCACATATATCACATAAATGGTAACATAAATTATCCGAAACAAGTTCAGATTTTTCTTATACAATTGTAATCTTCAGCATATTTTACTTCGATTGGTAGCGAATTCCTGGACATGTAAATCCTCATGAGGAAAAGTGGTATTCATGTTTGATACGATAAGTACAACGTTGGAATCCCAACGAAGTTGTCTAATTTGTATTGTTCCAAGAGTTTCTTCAGGTAGCACTAAAAGTCAGGAAAGTTTACACCACATGTATGTTAGAGAAAGCATTTTTAAACCGAGGTTTTGATTTCGAAATGATTCTGACTGTTTTATGTTGATTTCGTGTCAGGGTTCGAATAGTTTCAGCTCTGGAGTTTACAAGTACAAATTACAATAATATTGATAATGATGTATATGAAGTTACACATAGACCTTTAATGACTTCTTTACCTTGGATATCGCAGTCTCCTACGTACACACTTTTTGAACTGATTGCTGATTGATTTTTCTGTATCACCAGCTTGCTCTTCCTGCATGATGTTTCAAATGAATGTCTCTTTATTCTTGAAATTAGAATTGTACCGATAATCCTCTTAGTATATTTGGTCTGATCATGGAAGCTTTAGTTTATCGGGTGCGTGTTGGTGTAATCTTTCATTAAGAGCTATAATTGTAAAGTTTTCCCTGTTAATTGACTTTCCTCTGTTGGTCGATGTTTTTTCAGTTGTCTAAAAATTATTGTGTCCTTAAGTGGGTCTTGTGATTCCTAGGTAAGGTTTTGTAAAGATTATTATCGTCTTAAGGATATGATAGGGTCTAGAATATGACCTTTCGTACCTGAGTAAAGATATTTATCGGCCGCTAGTTTATATGGAACGCTACTTTATATGCGATTTCCGACAATTTCGGGTCCAGGACCCAAATTCAGACTGAGCGAATCCCGCTGAACTCAAGCAGCTTTCATAAAACGGCGACATGTTCACGAACCATTTACTCTGTATTCGTTTGCCAACCTTGTAATTAATATACTCTAAATTATCCATTTAAAAGGATTCAATTAATATACTCTAAAGTGTCAATTTGAAAGAACTCATTTATTATACTCAAAAAGAGTTGTGTAAATCTATTACAATAATAGTCATAATAACCCATTTTATAAACTTACATTTATAAACCCATCTCTCTGTATCGTTAGCTGACAGAACAGATTTTATATAAAATAAATTTCTTAGCCACCAGTATAATATTTATTTCTCTGTGCAATCAATATGTCAAGCTTTCGCCAATCAAACTTAGCCAATTCAAGTCGTAAAAATTAGAACATGTTCTATTCCTGTAATTCTCCGATTTCAGAAATTGGCTTGACGTGCAAAAAATTATCAGCAGTTTAAATCCAGCATGAGAAAATCAATTACGACAAATATCAAGTATAGGCCAAGTCCATCAACCGAATTTGAAAAGGTTAGCTGTTACGTTTTCAGATTGGGGGCAATGACGCATAAAATGTATTGGCAACTGCACACATTGATACCATATACACCTAGCCGAACAATTTCAGAAAGTTTCTTTTTTTTAAAAAAAAACAGAAAAGGGCATTAGGTGTTTGATTGACAATAACAATGTTTAAATTGAAGCACATGGCTTAGTTAAACTGTAAGTTTGAAAATATACTACATGTATATGACCCGTACAGTGGCTAGGGGATTAACGTGACAAGGCAAAGCTTCATACAGAATTTATGTGCGATTTGTTGACTTCCTAAACAATCGAAGCAAGTTTGAAAATATTTCCAAAACTTTGGTCTGTAGATTTTTACAATAATTATTAACCAAACGGTATATCAACGGACAGTTGTGAGAACATTTAACCCCGGCGTGATATGGGACATTACGGACATTTGCTGGTACCTACATGCCCAAACCCAATTAAAACCAAAGTAGAACTAGTGTGTTACCAGATGTGTAGGTAACAACTACGCTCAAAGATACACTATGTAAGAACCAAATCGGTCTATCACAAGCTTTCTTTCTGGCCTTAAATGTTATATATTATCATTACGAAATTTATTCACATGACATGTTCGTTGCCCTTTATAATAGGCGTAACTCACGAAGACTGCCGTTTGAAGGACTGAACTTAAAGACATTGTTTAAGACTATTGCTTATCAAAACCTCAAACATTCATACCTTCAGCCGGAATAACGTTTAACTGAAATTTTCAATATATTTATTTTTCATTATCTATTTCTAAACTATTTTAAGCAGAACGGTCAGATCTTTATCTAAATATTACATAATGAATCTTTAAATGTACGGAATTGGGTTTTCTTCATCAAATAAATTCAACCGTCACCTTAGCACTATTAAAAATGAAAATTTTCAACATTTTATTACCATTATGGTTACATAAAATTCACAAAAGAGATGAGTAATGCGATAATGGGTTGAGTAACAAATCTATCATAAATAATAACAATGACAAAATATTGATATAAATATATTATATAATAACAATAATACTATCACAGAATACATTACATGCACAAATACGTGACAAAACTTAACGAAAATTGGGGCTCCAAAATATCAGAGCTTTCATATGCTAAGGGAAGTAACTTCAATGAGATATAACTATAGAAGGAGGGGGGGGGGCTCCAGTTGGATTTTATAACATTACTCTGCCCATTTCACAGAAAGCTTTCTTATCACAAGGGCTAACGTGGGAGGGGGACAATCTTTAGAGAAGGATACGAGGTAAGTAAATGGAGGACCGTTTCTTGGACCCATCAATCCATAGAGCATAACCGAAGGCGAAAGTTTTCTCGAACACATATATAAAGCTTCATTTTAAAGCTTAGAATACATTCATAATGTCCATGTTTAAGTTGACAAAATGTCATTCAACAGAAGTAATTAAAACGTTCTCGTTTAATAATTTTAACACTTCCTTTTGAATTTTGATGTTTTAAAGACCATATGTCGATAAGGTCTCCCAGTTTGTTGGCCATTCATAAACAAGTTAGCTTGTGTAAAGGGAAATAACTACAACACAGAACTTGAGCACACCTCTTTTGCTACAGATGATAATCAAAGACTAAAACAGCTATAAATGATTGGCAGGCAATACTAATATATATTAATGATGTAATGAGAAAGAGTTGGTAGGTGTCACCTAATATTAATATTTATATACACACATCATCATCGTTTATGTTAATTGGTTAGATTTAGGAATGTGACGTCGTCAACATTTGATATGATTCGGTTATTGTTTACAATTAAAGACAGAACTCGTGGCATCCATCATCAAGGCGGTATTAACCAAGTTCAAATCTCCATCTTGGATTCTCACATAGCTATTTTTAGCAAAATTATATATCTTAATTAATCGAGTCGTGTAATTATTATCTCCTTAAAAAATCAATTCATAAAATAATCTTCTAGATATAAATCAGTTATTAGTTCAGAACAGATGGCAAATATATAGTAGCACGGTTCAATAGTCTTTTGTCATAGTCCAGTATAACATAGTACGCACCTCACTTCCGTCACCACAATGTCCTTCAGGGTAAGTATCTGGGGACTAATTTTATTTTGGGTACTTGCGTATTAGCACATTGATTATAGAACTTTATATATCTTCAAAGCATATTTTCGGCTTCTTCTTCACGCGAATCTTCACTAAATCGTTTCCCGCGGTCGCCATTTGATTTTCCGTTAGAACCCGGTGCCGTTGAATGGTTATGGAAACTGGAGCGATATGGTGAGCTGACGTAGGATGTTTTGGTGTATCTGGTAATGATGCTTCTGCTCTCTTGAAAATTTGAGAATTTCTTTCTTAATACAGCCTGAACCTATTGTTAAATAGACAAGTCAAACACAGTAAAGACTGAATAATATGACAGGATAAATGAACACATAGCAATTTCAAAATGTTGCTTAAGATATACCTTTCAAGGAAGGATCTCGCACGCGCACAGAATAGACTGTAGTTTGAAATGATGCGCTATGTCAATGCAACAATTAGTAGTATTATTAGAAGCTTTGGGTACCATTTGTTGCATTTCTATTCTAAGGAGACAGTTTCATCCCTTGGTTCGGCATCAAAATAGTAATGTTTGGACCAATTTTAGTACATCATCATAAAACCATTGGGATTTGATTTCCCATGTTTCTAACAATGCCGACATATGTGCGTTCGGTCGAATTTATATTACAAAAGATTGTACCGTAAGATTATTACAAATTTTGTTTCTGGATTCGTCGAATTTCTGAAGTCGTCAAATTTCTGATTTCGTGACCAGATAGTTACTAATGACAAATTGGTTTAATGACACACAAAAAATTAAAGTGTTTTGAATGATCGTCAACATACATACCTCTCCATTCAGGAAACAATAGAATACAGCGACAAATAAGCCCTATAAAAGAGAAATGAATCTATTATGCCAGAAGTTAAATATTATGAAAATGCGCTTTAACATTGTCCAATTTCCCATGGTATATTGAACCTTGCTTTTCCCGAATACATCCACCTTTGCCACTGAAGTTCGACAGAAGGAGTTTTAACTGTATAACATAAAATACGGAGAATTCCAAATAGTTCGAGTCCCTTTGGATTGCTGACAAATAGAACAAAGCGATTAGAAGTATTATGCATTAGCTAACTCCTGGTCGTCGTCCCTTGGTCGTGGTTCTTTTTTCTCTAATAGCTCACATTAGTGTTTTAAAGGCAAATATGATGGCTGATAAATTGTGGGTATACAATCAGGTATTGGGGATAAAAGTTACTAGTATCCCAGCAGTTTATCTCACCTGAAATGATTGCAGTAATGCATTTGCGTATTTGAACACTGATCCCACAACGGGGTCGTCACTGGGTGGCATTAAAAACAACACATACGTCACACCAAGCAACGGGAACAAAATGATGGTGGCTTTTACAGCTTTCCTAAAATCGAAGAATATCAATTTTAACGTTTAGAATTTTACTTCAATTTAGCAAGCATTCATTATATAAAACTGATGGTTCTTGTTAAGACATTTCACAACTTTGCATAATTTATAAGAAGTATTTTCTGTTGTCATAGGCCATTTATTCAGTGCAAATTTAACCAAATATAAAGGTCTTTGATGTTTGCGTCTTTATCCAGATCAAGAAACCAATTAAAATTGCCTACATATAATTCAATATTGTTTGTCAGTCAAAATGCTCATCTTGAACACTGATCCGACATCTATCTGCACAAATGTATGGTTGAAGAAGAAAACAATAGCGCATAAATGTCCTTAGTCAAGCCACCAATCGTATTAAATATAGTTCGGTATTTCACTCACCTGTACTGTCTGGTTTCTAGATTATGTGAAGCTTTCAATTTAGTGATTAATACCCAAATGATGGCTGACAAGAAAAATATATTACTCTGGAAAGGAAAACAATAAACACATAAAATTGTTAATTGGAAGCTGCTTGTTTGGTTTAATCTTGAGACAATAATGTCAAAAATATCATGTATTTAGGATTTTCGTGGATTTCTAGAAGTAGGGTAGACTGCCTAACCTCGTGGGTTTTCTCCGGGTCCTCCAATTTCAGTCCGCTGCGACTAAATACCCCTATGTACAAGCTAATTGTTGAAATAAAATTGTACCATATGTTAGTCCCGAAATGAGTCGATTTTAAACCTCAATTTTCCTCAAATACCCGGCTGTAGATTTCAAAGACTATGAATCAAAGTTTAACTTTATTTCATCGGAGAGGGAATCCTATTTGGTTCAATTATGTGGGTCTGTAATTTTAGTTTTTTCGTTTATGACATAATAGGTTATATTGTAAGTAAAGTTCCTTAAATTTTAAAAGCTTATAAAAGGAATTGACTTATATCTAGTATAATAAAATTGAACAAATATAATAACTTACCACAAGCACAAATAGAATAGGAACATGTAATATATAATCAAAATGAGTTTGTGAGTCCGCTGGCAACCAGCAACTGAAATAGAATATTATATCATCTCATATAGTTGTTTACTTTGTGGTTGAAATCAATGGTAGACTGACTTCACGTTGGAATACCATTAGTGGTCGGATGTCCATGATTGGAAAGGGTCGAAATAAAACTGTGGAATATTTCAAGCCGGTTCCAGCTGAATAGGGAAGTGTGCCTAGTCTTTCGGCGAAATACCGCACACGAAACAGAAACCTTAGCCAATGGAATTCAAAGGCGAGTAGGAGGATACACCAATGCCAGCCCCCCCCCCCCCCCTTCACACTTTGCGCCAGGTATTGTGACGTTGAACTCCATTCTGTTTATTTTGGGATATCATTGGTTCTCTGACAATAAAAAGATGAATATGGACTCGTTCCAATGTTTTAAAATTCACAGAATAAGAAAATATACCATATGAGAATATATAATTACTTACTAGTCGTCATCTAGGTAAGCCTTAACAAATGCCCAAATAATGGCGGATATAATTGGTATACCTAAAATAAAGCAATTATCGTTAATGGATTGCTATCTATATAGAGCACAATTGTAAAGGTACATATAGCTTTAGCATAGGCTGTCAGAACCAACGAAAGGTTGGGATAGAACATATGGGAGGAGACTTAATAATGCCTGGATTTATGTCGTCATAGTGTACAAGGTTTGCTTTGGCCCATAATATGTCTTTTAATGGTGCCATTTAAAACAGATTAAGCATACATGTATTATCAAATACAAATGTATGCGAAACGTTTAAGATTGGCTGAATCTACTTATGGATAGTATAGCAAATGCAACCCCCGCCCCGCCCATAAATAAAAAAACAACAATTGTTTAAATTCAAAAGAATTCCAAGCTATGATCAAACAGATAAAGGCCGAAAAAACAACTTAAAAATTATTGCTCGCGGTACATTTTTACAAATAATTTTAATCAGTATTAGCCGGCAATGAAAAAGTAAATATATCGTGTCTTGTGCACGACATGGGTGCCAATTTATACCTATGAGGTCATAATGGCATAAGCTAGCCAGTGTATCAGCAACACTTGAAAGTCATTACACATGATTTGAATAACATTTATACCTACCCCAACCAATGATGACGTAGTACCCAATGCGTATCTTATCGGCAGAATATGCCCACACAATTATAGTAAAAAGATACAGCCCTTCGACAAACATCCAGAAGAAGTTGGTACCATGTAGATAGTTATATATGGTCACTATCACCTTACAAAACCACTGAAATACATAAATATCTAGTCATATACAATGGTGGAAGGGTAAATAATATTTTACTAAAAAAAAGAAATCCGTGACTAATATGTGGATTTTACTTTCATTTTTAACACGATCACCAAATGTGCTAAGGGGCCATGCACGCTTTTACCACATATAGAACATAGACAGTCACTGAATTATACAAATCATTATGAATAGAATAGAGTTGCTAGTTTAGCATTCAATGGCTAGGCGCTTTTACCGCAGTTATCTACGGCAAGTGGGAAGCAGCCTTAATTAAAATATACCAAATCACATAAAAGAACAATTAGCACTTACCTCATATTCAGTTTCATACAGTTCTAGTATAACATTGTGTAAAATAACCCATATTATATTACGTAATATAAACGTCACTATTAGATGACAATGTATGACGTTTCGTAAACATCGCAAACTCCTGCAAACAGTAAAATAACAAATGTTAAAAATGAAGATACGTCATGCAAAACACCATCTTCACCAAGGGTAACAGACGAAGAAGCAGATTTAGATGACCAAGTTGATCACATAACTACTTTATGGCCGTATTATAAATTCAAAGCAAAGCCGGAGACCCATAGCAGTATTTGTATTTGCAACAGGAAACCTTTCATCAACTAAAAATCTGGCGTCTCTCAATGTTAGCATATTTTTGTGTAATATAATAATATTTATTATAAACTGCTACTTTATCCGTTTAACTTCAAAATCTACACCCAAAGACCAAATTATCTGCCATAAATGTATTAGTAGATACAACAATACATGCCAATTTTCAGGCAAACTTTTACCAAGCGTAGCATCACTCACACACTGCATTATTGACATTTGGAAACCTCCCTCCTCAATTAGACAAGAAATTCCTTTTACAAGCAAACATATTTCTTAGCTAAAAGTATCAAGGCACATACTGAAACTGCCAGCCTTTTATAAATACATGTTCGTCATAACCCTTTTTCGGACACGTCGCACGAAAAACATTGTCGGAAACAAGGGCTAATCTAAGACCGCAGACATAAATTGTTTTTTGGATGCATACTTTTATTCAAATACGATCAAACTACAGCTTCATATAAAGACCGAATAATAATCGATCAGAGTAAAAAAAAATATATATTTGAGGTATTAACAGAGACGATATTATAAGGTATTTTTGTACAAATCTACAAAGAACTTAATGGTCATTTCCATCTACATGTAGAATCGTCCTTTGATGAGGTTGGTAGAGTGCCTAGATTTGCTTTCAGATCTAGATTTCTAGAATGGTCAACGGAATATCATCAGTACAAACGATTCCAAATGCAAAGCTAGCACCTAGCGCATTGCAGATAAGACACTTGTAGCCAGCGAAATGTTGAAATGAAAGGGGGGGGGGGGGTCCACAAGACCCCTTGTGTCCGATAATGTGATACTCGTAGTTTCTTGTCAAATGATGAAAGTTGCCACTGGCTCACTTCCGTTCTATTTGCAGCATTATACTCGACATTAGAGAGCCGACAATATATAAAATTCTCGATAGACAATTATAAACCAGATCCTCACAAACGTTAAGGATATGGTCGTGGGGTCCCGAAATGCCCCTTGTATACGCATAAGTTAATTGACAGAAATTGACAAATTTGATTGCTCTATCCTTAGTTAGAATTTACAACATACATTTGAAAAACAAATCACGAGAAACTATCATAATCGATGACTGTGTAACAAGATACGGAGACAGACGAGACAGGGTCGGATTTTGGTCCGTCTGAGTTGAAAAACTCTTAGCCAAACAAAAATGTCGGAGAAAGGTTGGAACCGGGCAAAGAAATAATATTATAGTAAATGGGAAAATTAATGATTGTGTGTATTCAAATAATGTAGAAGACAGTTGCCTCCCTTGATTAAACAGAATTTATCATTCGTTCATCTTAAACTATCCCTAAGAATCTGTGCTCATGCAACCATTATCAGACATTATAACAGCTGGTTCACAGAACAAGACGTTCATCAAGGAAGGTAGAAACAAGGTTCACATTGTCATGTGACAAACATATAATCATTAAAGGGTAACTAAGTAAGATCATATAAAGAGCTGACAGTTCTCGCTATAATGGCTAAAATAGATAATAAAAAGGGGATAGGTTGAAAATTTCAGTCAAATTACTTCACAAGGTCTCGATTGTCCATTTTTACGATAAATCATCAACGGTAATTCGTATTGAAATCTGTTGAAATTCTCCAGCATCCGATGGCATCGAGACTTGATTAAGGTCTTGGTAAGTTAATTAAAGATACATTATGGGAGATTAGATAAAGAGCTGGCAGTTTTCACTATAATAGTTAAAAACTAGATAATGTAAAGAGAATTTGCTGAAAATTTCAAATTGATTCACTCTGAACCGAGATTTTATCGATTTATTTTTCGGCATAGCCTCGATCATCATTACTAAAGTCGGTACGATAAAAAAAACAACATAGTCTCGATTATTAATTTCATGATTAAATCATGGATGGAAGTTGAACAGCAAATCGGAACCTAATCCAATAAACATCCAATAAACATCGAGAGTTGATTATGATCTGGATAGGTTAATTAATGTCTAATTAATAATTTAGGTAACATTTCAGGCCTAAAGAAAGACCTGCTATAGGCAGATTTAGCGCTTGCATAATGTATTTTTAATTAATGTCTATTTAATAATTTATATAACATTTAATGCATAAAGAAAGAACTGCAATAGGCAGATTTAGCTCTTGCATAATACCTGTTTACGTAACGTGTTAATTGGGACTGATAGACTATCGCCATTCAGGAGAACACCGTTGTCAAGACAGGTCGCATTATTTCTTATTTCTATTAGTCCTTTCTTGTAAATCATTGTTCTGTTTTTCATTTTTAATGTAATCTGTATATCACAGGCCCTGGTCTCTACAGCACAGTGGACGCTTACGGTCGGTCACCGGATCCAGTCACTTGATTTAATATTTGTGTAGTTTGTCTCGTCCGCAGGCTTCTCATTATCGATATGTTTCGCGTCTAGTGTAATCACTCTGTACTTACCATTATAGACATTACTTAGTTTCAAACATAAAATTAATTTATCTTAGTACATGCTGTAAGTAGATGTAAGTATCGGTACATTAACTGAGTGTTACTATCATATCCATGCTGTTATACGATTTTTTATAAACGGCTTTTTAAAACAGACTATCGTTATATTATCTACGGTCATCTATACGCCTGAATAATGTTTGTTATCGATATGGTGATCTCAGATTTCGACGTATGTCTACAAAAATTAGATCCCTTTTTTGTATCAAGAATCAAGTGTTGTCATTGTCATGTAAAAAAGATCGACAAGCGTCACTACCTATGCCAATTTCTAATATGGATTAGAATTATTTTGGGAATTCAAGAATGTCTAGCCATAGTCTGCACCATGCGCGAAAACTCTCAATACCAAGCTGAGTAGTGTCTGATGTGTTAGAGAGAGAGAGAGAGAGAGAGAGAGAGAGAAATGGGGTTTAACGTCCACTCGACACAACTAGGTCATTTCGGGACTAACATATGGTTTAATTTTATTTCAATAATTCGCTTACGCGTAGAGGTCTTTAGCAGTGGGAGGAAATGATGTGTTAGAAGGTGACCAGAAGGACGTTGTTACCTAGGGGCAATGCCTGATTATAAGTCGTCCAATTTATTTATGGGTAGGCATATAACATAAATAAGTAGTTATGCGAAAGTTCAGACAACTTGGGATAGCTTATAAGGCGACATAAAATACATGTATCAACCGCGTCATGAAAAACATGTATCAATTATTAACCCATTTCCGCAGCTAGAGGTAAAAATGTCAGATATTATAAATTATCTTTTATGTATTTTATAAGTAGCAATTTTCTGTTTTTTAATAAAAATCCATATTGCAACATTTTACACATTCTGTTTTAATAAACAAGAATTTTATCTAGATTGTGTAATGTAAAACTCTCTTTCACAAACTACTTACAATGTTTATGGCATATTACTTCTTATTCATGTAAGTGCATTGTAAATAATGTTACTATTAATATCAAGATGCGTTTAAAGTCACTCTGTTATATAAAATTATACCTGAACTTTTGCTGAACATTATATTCTGTGTTTAGAAATACGTGTCTGAAATAGTTGTTTCAATTTGATTAATGCTGTAATTGAATTTTCTTAGATGAGATTTTGAAAATGATTGCACGGACTCATTTAACAGATGGATACGGACCACAGTGGTTGATTCTTATCAATTACCGATAAAGAAAGCGTATTTTTGTCAGCGCTTTTATGACATTACCTAAAATGACCCACAGGGCAAGATATTTTATATACATGTATCTGAATCATTTCATACGTAATTTTAAAAATATGGATACCTAGCGGTTGACTCAGCGTAGCACAGGTAAAGCCATGAACCGGAATTACCATTACTCCGAAACCGAAAGTAGTAGGCTATCACCACAAGGCCTATGTTACTCCCCGGATCGAGTTACCCCTTAACAGCAAATTGCAGCCTCGGGACAGCCCTGGTGTAGCCGCCAAACCCGAACAGACAGACAGACAGATAAACAAACGACAAGTTACAAATATTAGTATAGATTGACAAAGCGGCCAAATACTGACAAGGAGGAACTATGTTATCAGTTTCAGGTAGCAGTTGCCCAAAGACGTTCGTGTTTAATGATTAGTAAGACTATCATTTTGTTTTTGAAGTCTAAAACCTATTTAAGTTCAGCAAACATAACAGCAATTTTGTCAAAAGAAATTGCCCGAAGCAATAATAAAGACATTCGAGAACTTAAAAGAAATTATATGTACGAGGATGAACGTTTCAGAAGTTTCATGGAGTTACTTACCTGAAATACAGAAAGATAATAAGAGCAGCTAACAGCGCTATAGTTGTTACTATAAAACCAACATTATATATTATTCTTACACCGGGACTCTCCGGGGGTAAACCCTGTAAAAGACAAGCATGTTAAAAAATGATATGAACAACCTCTGCTTAATTTAATTTTCTTTTTTTTTTAGATTTACATAATACATATTGCGTTATTCTCAAGAATGTGTCGTATCTTTAAAGGTCATGGCTCAGGGAATAAGGCACTGGCTCGCTAACCAGAACTTCTCTGGTTCGCTCCCGCGGTGTTGGCTCCCCTTGTCCGTAATGGAGGATGAGAGGGTGGGACGTAATAAAAACGTTGAAAGGCAAAATAGGACGTCGCGCCGTTGCCCAGGCACAATTCCCCTCATAACACACCGCGTGGTATCTGCTAGTCTTCATTATTCCGGTAGGTGCAGGCAAGTACGATGTTAAACCACAATGTTTTATTTTGAAAGAATCCCATAAGACCATGGAATGTCACAAGCGTGTTGTTTGCGTCAAATGAAAGAAGTTTGTAGACGCTACACATTCTAAAGAGATGAATAACATTTAGATTGTCAAGTCAAGTCGTAATAACATCATTGGACATTATTTCTATTAGGGTAAAGCGTAGACGATAGTATTTCTCTAGAGAGGTATTAATACATATCAGAGAATCGTCGATATTTAGTGATATTTGCCGGGTTATTAATGGGCTTTGTCTTATCGCTGATTTGTTTCTGCACCATTACATGCTTACAGAACCTATTGGCGCGAGAAAGTATATCAGTGACAAAGTCTTGCTTTATTACATGACGCAGAAATAAGGTTAATGTTAGAACCGAGAATGGTAAAATTAACAGTTCCGTGGGGATTTTCTATTATTACGTGGCTTAAGGAACCTAACAACCAATTTGTTCAAAGCCTAGAAGTTCATTGCCCACAAATTCCCGCGTCAGGGGCGTAGCCCCTCCTCTTTGATTGCCTGGATATAGCCCGGTTGTTGCTGACGAGAAATTAAACAACATTTCATTCATTCAATATTTTTGTTAGTTTAGAAAGAGCGAGAATGGTTTACATATTTTTATCATTGGGTTTGACTGCGCCATGAGCATACACGAATGGAATGTGCGCATTATAAATACACACTATTATTATTATTTTATTATTACATTGTACTTGATTTAAAATATGAGAGGGTGAACAGATAAATAAACATTGCTTTAAGAGATAAATCTACTTAATGCAGGCCTTTTCTGGCTTCACATGTTATAAATTATTATTTAGACAAACCCATATAATAAACTCTACGGACAATCAGCTGGCTGAAGTGAGTGAATTACAAAATGTTTGCCATATATTCGTTAAAAATTAAATGGAGTATGCAGACTTCGTTTATTATCGTAGGAATTGTAGGCTTACTAGACAATCGAAACGTAAAACATTCATAACTATTTTAATCTACATTTTAAATTATTGTAGCAAAAAGAAATTTAATGGGGTTTAGCCTCTTACTGTTCGCCCCGATTGAAGAGAGAGAGAGAGAAAAATGGGGTTTAACGTCCACTCGACACAAACTAGGTCATTTCGGGACTAACATATGGTTTAATTTTATTTCAATAATTCGATTGCGCGTAGGGGTCTTTAGCAGTGGGAGGAAACCGGAGGACCCGGAGAAAACCCACGAGGTTAGACAGGCGACCCTACTCCTTGTCACGTACAACCGGGGATTCGAAACCACGCCACTAGACTCAATGACAGGCTTTATGATGCAGCGCGCACGTGTTAACAATTCATCCATCCAACCCCCCCAGCCCCAATTGGGCTAATAAAGACGCGTGTAGCAAAATATAACGGATCAGCTCTTTATCTAAATCTTACATAATGCATCTGTAATAAAACCCCATTCTTACTGTTATAAAGTTCTAATTAATAATTTAATTGATGATTAATGTAAAGGTTTATGCAACTGAAAACAAATGTATATAGAACTTGATATTTCATTAAAAATATATATATAAAAAAGTTTGATACGACTAAATATTAGTAATTATTATAACTGTAAACGTTAAAGTTTGACCGAATTACGGGAGATAGCGGGTGGATTCGAGACATGTATGGTATGGCACGTGTTTCACAAGGCGCTGTAGCTGGTGCGCCTAAACTATGCACTTTTATTTTTCTGGAACACCCTGCGCCTTATCTTCTGTAATACATTTAAAGGAAAGAAATGGAGCTTAATCTTAATCTCTCATGAACACAGTACTTGATATTTTCAGACTAGAATACTATGGAAGACCAAACAACTCTTTATTCAGTTTTCTTAATTCTTAGTTCTTAATTCATAGACCTTAATTCCTAATTCTTTTAAAAAATCAAAAAATTAGCCTACATTTACATTTCATCAGAGACATTCAACGAAAAACAAATCTTGAACAACAAATTTCCAAATACATGTACAAGTCTCCAAATACAAATCTTGCAAAAAAAACATTTAACATTGGTGACTTATTATATGCCAGGCTGATTTCCGTTCATGCCGTCGTAATGTTCTGGTTGGATGAATTTTGAAAAAAATGTATTTGGAGAAATGTTTTTCAAGATTTTTACTTGGTGATGTGTATTTGGAAATTTCTTGTAAATTTTATCTTTATATAACTAAAATTAAATTAAACAAAAATACAATTTACAAATCTTTTATGACAAATGTCTGATTTGTAAAACAAATATTGATTTTAAGATACAAATGTTAATTTTGGTGTACAGATGGACAAATGGACAAAGAGAATTAAGGACTATGAATTAAGAACTAAGAATTAAGAACACCGAATAAAGAGCTGTTTGGTATTCCATAGAACAAAGCTAGTTTATTGTATCCATGGTCAAACATGGACGTATTTTTACTTACCGTAATATTATGTTTGCCAACGCTAGCTGATAAACAGTCATCATAATTAGATTTATTAGCCCAAAACCCATTCACATCACAATATCGACTGGCATTTTCTGTTAAAATAACATTTAAAATAATTAACAATATATTAATACGCGACGAGTATAAAGACGATGTTGTCAGGAAAAGGGTCTATTAAGAAAGAATCGAGTGTTCTGTCAGGTGCGTTTTAGATCATTAAGTCTATCATTGGGTCACGTGACAAGGCATAGGGTCGCCTGTCCAACCGCGTGGGTTTTCTTCATCCCACTGCCTCTCCCCTCTGTCAGTCTGTCTGTCTCTGTCTATCCGCCCATCTCTCTCTCTCTCCCCCCTCTCTCTCTCTCTCTCTCTCTCTCAGCAAGAATAAAGTTTATTTTAACTGACGTTCTGTTTCGATCAGTCTGTGTGATTAAATTTCGTAAATGAAATTCAATGGAATCGAAAATTTTACTGTGAGACAAAAGTAATCTGAGACCAGTCAGCAAAGATTTTCCCACCACACCACACCAAATAATGTGTTCGGAGACCTATCAAAGTAATGAACCATGATGAGAGGGTGGATTATTTTTTGACTAACGGTAGTCTAGGACAGACTGTACTTTTAAAATATTACCTTATATTCTAATGTTGATAGCATTGTTGTCTAACTTTGAATATATATCAAATTAAATTATTAAAGAAAACAAATTTCAGAGAAACACTATGGCAATCAATGAACATCTCTAAGATATTTTGTCCATTCACTGAACTTATTTTAGTTTTAAACATGTCCAAGTCACAAAGTTATGATATCATTCCATTGGCCGGAAGAGTCGTTTTCGGTTAAGTCAAGCGTCAAATTCTGACCAGGAATACGGCCCCAAGCTCTACTTATCTCGTTGTTCTTGATGTTTGTCTTGGAGCTGCGCTCTTCGAAACAAGCACAAGGCGCACAGTTCCATAGTACGCTCGTACTTTTTATAATAATTTCATTTTCACTTAAGCTGTCATAATATAGATAGACATCCATTCATATATTCATATATACTGTAGTATAAATGATGTATCACTATATAAATCCCTAAAGATCTACATTATTGCCCAGATCACATCATCCATACATACATTCGCATTTGACAATCCAGACTCAATTAACATTGATTTTCGACCTTACCAGTCTCGGGTTAGAAAACTGAACCAATCCCTATAGGGTATCAGAGACGTGATTAATCCCTTGGTCATGCGAACATGACAAACTTTTGTTTCATAATTTATATTTACATTTTTATCTCATCTTTAAATTGATATAATCCGCGATTGGGAGTTTGACGATTCTTGAATTGCGAACAGAATGTTCTTTGTTGCCATTACCGGGGAGTTATCCCATTCCAAGGTCAATGTTATAGCTTTGTTATTTCCGCCAAGTTCCGGTCAGATCGATTGGTACATAATAATCGATTGACCAATGGCTTTAATCCTTTAATTAGCTACATAAACTCTTCACCCCATAAAACAAACACATTTGTTTATCTTAAATGCAATAAGTTCAGAATTTTATTTTGCACTTAGTCGTGACCATTTGTCGAGGGAACAAGGTTTGATGATGGTTTTTGATAGAAGGGATCCTAGTGAAGATATTTGTACTTTGCTACCGCTGAAATCTACGGACTAACTCCAGGAAGCTTAAAATCCAAGATGGCGGCAAAATTGGTCTGGAATTGACTATGACAAACATCATTTTATAGGTTTTGTTAGTCACCCGCCCATTTTGGACAGTTTCCGATTCATTTCACAAACGATTGATAGCATATGGAAGCCAAAATCCAAAATGGCGACAAAAATTGGATCTAAAACTAAACGTATTCCTTCAATACCAATAGCAACACACACGTGTGATATGTCGTTTCAAGGGTTGTGGGAGACGAGAAACATGGCTATGCCATTTCCAAGCTGATAGAAGTAACCGTTAAGCATTTTCCCGACTATAGACCTACACATGTAATAATAACAACCATAAATTGTTCCGGTTATCCATGATTCTTATCCTTCATACATTACAGAGAGAGAGAGAAATGGGGTTTAACGTCCACTCGACACAAACTAGGTCATTTCGGGACTAACATATGGTCTAATTATGTTTCAATAATTCGCTTCCGCGTAGGGGTCTTTAGCAGTGGGAGGAAACCCACGAGGTTGGACAGGCGGCCCTACTCCTTGGCACGTACAACCGGGGAATCGAAACCACACCAGTTGACTCAATGACAGACTTTATGGTACAGCACGCACATGCTAACCATTCAGCCATCCAATCCCCTCATACATTGCAGCTTTCATAATACATTTTAATGCACTATATAATAATGTATACCGCAGTATGACTCGTTAATCTCAGAAAATATATGTGCAGAGTTTTGAGTCATATATCGGACTTGTGCACTCAGTAATGTTATTTTGAGAGTTATCTACTGAGAAGTTGTTTATATACTGAGACATTGGGCATCGCTTGTGTATCATATATTTTCCAGCCATGCCTAAGAGGCCAATGTTGATTCTGGAGTTTGTAATGCAGCATAATATAGGATTGGTAGTTAACGCTTTTGACCTTTTGCCTTATCACTATCTTGTGGTACACAATATAAATCGTATGCTTCCAAAAGTTATGGACTTTTTTTTCAAATATTAGTGACCGCTTCCGAATCGGGCCATTTATAGTCTTCTCAAATTGTATACATGTATTCACTCAAGTCCCAACACATTTAAGGGTCAAATAAAAGTTATATTACCAAATCTGAGTACATTTTCATAATGACGGAATGGATATCTGTGAAACACGGTAAGGATCACCCTCAGATGATAAAGTTAAGAGTTAATCTGAAATTAGTCGATGGATTTTGATAAATAGTGACCTGCTTGTTAATTGTTGATATTTAGTCTACTTAAAGTTTGTTTAAACCCATTAAAGGGTTTGGAGCAGGCGAAAATTTGCTGTATCAAGGTGTGGTATCACCAAAACTATGGAATCGAACAATTGCATTCGATAAGTAACATTCATGTCAATAATAGTTATCAAACTTCTCTAATTTCTTTCAGACAAAGAACTTTATCATCTTAGGGTGATCCTTGCCACATTTCAGACAAATTCATTCAGCCATTATGAAAAAGAAGCAGATTTTGTATAAAATATCTTCTATTTGACCTTAAAATGTGTCTATACCATTTTAAAAGACTATTAATGCCCCAAGTCCGATGCGCTCAATATTATTCGAAAAGAAAACTATTCAGTGACTAGGAAGTATACAATTTGTAGGTTGTACCACGCGTATGCCACTAGATCGCAAAAGCTTTATGCAAAAGGTCAAAAGAGCTTACTATCAACTCGACATTATGCTGCATTACAGACTCCGGAATCCACTATCGCCTCTTAGGAATGGCCGGAAAGTAGTGAATAGGAAGATGTGGTCTATATGACAAAAACTCGATGCTCTATGTCCAAGGGTTTAAAACAACTTGTCAGTCGATATCTCCCAAAATAAAAATACTTCTCATTATGAGGCCGCAAGTCCGAAAGATCACTCAAAATAGTAAAAATACGCAGACTCGCCAAAAATGTTTTCGGAGAGTCACAGTGCGGAATACATGATATATGCTATCTCCTTTCAAATTAGTTCGATCAGCTTGGAAATGGCATATTCGTGCCCCCCCCCCCCCCACACACACACAAGCTCGTAAACGTATGGTGGCTGATTGGTATGATGTCAGGATTCGTCCTTCATAAGGCGACAATCCGACATCACGACATTTTAACCCGACACTACGACAACCCGACATCACGACACCACGACATTTTAACCCGACAATACGACATTTCGTAATGTCCTAATGTTGCGGAAAAATGTCGTATTGTCGGGTTAAAATATCGTGATGTCGGGTTATCTTGGTGTCGTAATGTCGGTTTGTCGTGGTGTCGTGATGTCGGGTTGTCGTGGTGTCGGGTTATCGGCCAAATTTCTCTCACTACTATGATTATGTTCCCTAGGATTTTGCAGCGCGGGTTCTCCATGTCAGTAGTGCAGGACTATCACTCTGCATAGCGTATGCCTACTTTCAATAGTCCGATTGGTTCGGAAAAGTAGGAATATAAAGTGAGACGATAACTCGACACCACGACAACCCGACATCACGACACCACGACAACCCGACATTTTTACGCGACATTACGACATTTTTGATGTCGTAATGTCGTTAATGTCGGGTTGTCGTGGTGTCGGGTTAAATGTCGTGATGTCCGGTTGTCGCCTTAAGAAATGCGACACCACGACATCACGACAAGATACTAATCAGCCACCATAGAAACGACATATGACACGTCTATGTTGCTATTGGTATTGAAAGAATACTTTTCGATCCAATTGCACTCGCCATTTTGGATTTTGGCGGCCATATTGGATCAATCGTTTGTGAAATGAATCGGAAACTGTCTAAAATGGGCCGGGTGACAAACACAACCTATAAAATGATATATTACACGGATCATTTCGACAATAATGGTTGTCAAGGTCAATTTCAGACCATTTTTGGCCGCCATCTTGGATTTTCTACTCTTTTGGGAGTTATCCCGTAGATTTCAGAGGTAACAAACTACAAATATCTTCACTAGTGTCCCTTCTATCAGAAACCATTGTCAAACCCCGAAAAATGGTCACGGATCTGGATGTTGTGACCCGACTTACTTGGATAAAGATAGGTTACCCGGCAACGAAACATACGCCCATAGCAGCTAAATCGTCCGTGCAGTCAACATGACTTGTCGCATATTTTTACTTTTGTTGGTAATGAAACATTTATAATACACTGAAATCTGATTAAGAGTAACAACTCATTAAGTAATTATCAGGAAATCATTAGAATTTGTTCGGCCCATGCTAACGTTTAGTATACAAAACATTTAATACCATATGGATTTAGCTGTTCAAAAATCATGTGTATCAATCTAAAGTCAATCGAAACGATTATATAGGCGTAAGCACAGTGTATAAAAATAAAATCAATCAGATGATAAATATGGTCTCTAAAGCATCCACAAGATTTTTCAAAGTGATCAAGGGTCATAACTCTGGCAGTAATTACTGGAAATCGGTGAAAATCAATAGGCTTTTTCGTCTCGTGACCTTTAACACTGTGTACAAATTTAAAGTCAATCGGATATTAACTTTAGCCTCAAGAGCGTCCACAAGATTTTTCAAAGTGATCAAGGGCCATAAATCTGGCAGTAATTATCGGAAATCATTGAAAATCAATAGGTTTCTCCGTCTGATGACATTAAACACTGTGTATAAATTTAAGGTCAATCGGATATTAACTTTAGCCTATAGAGCTCCACAAGATATTTCAAAGTGATCAAGGGCCATAACTCTGGCAGTAACTTTCAGAAATCGGTGAACAACAATAGGCTTCTTCGTCTCATGACCTTAAACACTGTGTATAAATTTAAAGTCAATCGGATATTAACTTTAGCCTCTAGAGCGTCCACAAGCAATTGTTGATGCCGGACGGACGGATGGCGGCCGCGACAATATACGACCGCATTTCAATGTTGGCGTATAAAAAAGGCTCCGCATTCAACCGGTTTGCAGATAACATCGGTAATAAGGACATCACCCTTAAATATCCAGGAGTGGTTTGCATGCGACGTGAGATAACTCTTGAAACTAATATGATATACATGTATATTTAAAAGATAAGAAACGAAGCAAATTCTACAAGAGCAAAAAACAGATGATGATGTGATAAAATACATTATCTGTTTATAATAAAATTAGAATTATACATAACACAAATAAATAACAGTTTTCTGTAATATTTTATCTTCATAACTTTTATCTCAAAAAAGGTATCCTATAAAAAACATTTATTTTTCATAGGGTTATAATTAATGTTGCTCAGTAGTCCCTATTGCATCATCATGGATTCGTAATAAGGATCTTCTGTGCCGTTTCTACAAATATTCACATTCAATTTCGAAATAGTCAGCCTCCTTTTGTTATTCTAATAATCTGTATAATTTGGAAATACTGAGCCTACTGGACTATTTGTACAAACTAAGTAGAAATAGATGGATGGACAATTTCGGTCAACTTTGCGTAATGGTTTGACTAGTAATGCAAATATCGAACTTTTAGGCCATTTTACTTTTGCGCATGATGACCCCTTTTGTTAGGATGGTACCAAGAAGACGGGATATTTAATATACAAATGGGGATATGATGTAAATGTCTACCATTGGTGCCATATATACAATCGTAACATCGATTCCTTATCTTCAAAATGATATAACCTCGATACCCATCAATCAATAACAATATCAAATGCTATAGGATGCTTATATTAACCGGTATTCTTAACACAAGCCCCATAGATATGTATTGATATAATTCACATCTCAATTAGGAGATATGTAATAAGGTAATGTCATTGACGATAACAAATTTTGTTACCATACATGAACTAGTCGATACACAAAAACCAAAACTTGATAAATTTACCATTTCTTGGTTTGTTCAATGCAACGTTTCAATAATTACTTGAAAAAGATATGTGTAAAATGATTAAAACGTTGACTGGAATAAACTAAGAATTCGTAAATCTAAGAGGATTAGATGGGGTTTTATTTATTAATATCTATATTCATATGCTATTTAAAGACAATTGTAAGTACAGTTCTTTAGAAGCAATCGCCATGAGTTTGTTTTTTTGTAAAGCCCGGTATTCAAACTGAGTATTATTATATTTATGTATCGTATTCAATAATTCTTGTCTAAAGCCTACTCGCCCACGTTTATGTGCTTTTTTTCCGTTTCTTCAGCCCCAACCCACTCTTCATATCCTGAAAAGACCTTAGCACAAAATAATTAGTTAAACAGAATAATGACATACAGCTAGACTCCTTTGTACCATCACCATTTCAGAATATGATGCATATAACGTGTTTATTATTTTTAGTTTTCAGTTACTTACTTGTTGAGTCGACACCATCAAGTCCATGTGGGCAAGGTATAATAGAGAAGGTACCAGCTATGGATCTTGGCCAGCATGAGAAGTCATCCCATGTGCTGTTGCAATAATTTACACCTGTACCTGGAAATAGAGAGAAAGGAAATTGTCGTTAGCAAATGTGAGAAATATAAAGTTTTATTGTAAAGATTTGCTTACAATTTCCTACATCACTTAGAGCTTCCCCCGTGTCAAACGGATTCTGAAGGCTTCCTTTGTCAAAGTGCCTCGGAATGTCAACCCATATCAATAAAACTAACCATAAACAAATTTATAATACAAATTCGTTAACTATGTGAATTCTTCAATTGAGAAAATGTGTCAGGTGTAACAGAAAAGCAAGAATACTCTGCTTCGTACATACCACCGGTATAGTTATCTTGATAAATGCTTTAATAATTTGGACCTGGGTTTTAGAAGCCAGGGGCTACTGTGTGGAAAATAACACATAGTGAACAATTGTTTAAGGTAATCCTTGAATCTGGAGTTTATAATTCCTAATCAGACCAAACCGGTTCCTCGGCTCGCTAAATTTCTGTTAAAAGTATTCATAGCTTAGTTTTCATTGCCTTATCATAATTAACAAGCGCCGCATTATTAATCCACAAAATATAATCAATGTTTAAAGGCGAACCACCATCATTAATTAACCCCTTTCAATAGATCTGATCTAGATAAAGCAGGGCAAGAGAACTAATAACGACAAAGGGAACAGTGGGTTATCAGGGACAGATTGAATTCGCTAATCAAATCAGGTGAACCGTCACAAAATCCACCATATAATTGGATCGATTAAATCGGGGCCATACTTGGACCATCGACGACCAGCCTATATAATGTGTCTGGAATACTAAAAACTAATATGTCACAGACACGTTGGTAGTGTCCGATTATGTGATTAGGAATAACTTTAAAAGTTTAAGGAAGTACATTTCAATGAAATGTATTGATCCTCCCACTGCTAAAGACCCCTACGCGCAAGCGAATTATTGAAATAAAATTGAACCATGTGTTAGTCCCGAAATGACCTAGTTTGTGTCGAGTGGACGTTAAACCCCATTTATCTCTCTATCTCTCTCTCTCTCTTAATATTCGAAATTAAAAACAAGAATTAGAAATCAATATTGATTGGCCCATTTCAATCAATATTAAAATAATATAAATAAAATAAAACCAAGTACGAACAATCCAAACCATAAGACAGAATTCGAAGTCCTAAAAAACGTTAAAGGCAAAATAGTGTATTCAAGCAAAATAGTGTAATCAGCAAATGGACTGCTCCTCGTGTACAAAATACACGACAAACAGTGGTAACAGGTGTCCGGAAGAGTAAGCTTACCCTGCCTGGCGCCACACCCGCCATAGCTGCATGCAAACTATTAGGCGAAATGTCGGTAAAATAGCGTGATTGGCCATTGAACTATCGGTATGCAAAATGCACTCGATGAACTGCCTGCATCTGCCTATTGCCTATAAATTATTAGTTATACATTTATTTACCATCGGATGTGGTGGATACTACATGCACAAGACATTACATGATTACCTGGAGTTTTAGAACACATCATACCACTTGAAGGGAGCTCGTGAACTAAGCAAATGCCGGTGAAATAGCTTTTTTTGTGATAATTTTTTGTAAGTGAAGAAAGCACTCAAAATATCAGATATAATATAGTTTTAGTAAAACTTCTCTAAAGAAAATCTGGAGTAGGTGATAAGCATCATTAAATTTATGTACGAAACGCATTTTTCTGCTGCATTTGGCGCTTTTTAATGGCCTGTTGCAACAGAAGATAAATATTAACATTTAATTGTGTACAAATGAACGAGCAGGATTATGTGAAGTTTATGGAAAAAATGACATGTACATCATTTATTCTGGTAATTAAGTAACTAGCAATGCCATTTATTTAAGTTATCTGAATGTTAAAGAGCTAAGTAAAAACACCTTTGGCTAAAGGCAGTATTCTGAATAATAGATACACATTTCTTAACTTAAAGTATAGTTTTGTAAGTCAAGAGTTCCGTTTATAAAACTCTTGAAAGTATATACGGGGTTCATTTTGACACGCGAATTTTGATGTTTAGAACTAACATAAATTTTTGATTTATATGCTTTATTCTATGTAACGGTAGAAAAACCCAAGAGTAGTTCCCTCCCCAATCCATAACTGCATACTTGTACGGATTGTAGTAGTAGGATGATGGTTGTGCGATGTTGACATTGAAAATGATAATGACAACATTCACCATCACCAAAATAATATCGTTATTTTAATACAGATTGTTCATTTTGCATATAAATGGTTACTTGTACTGCCAATGTGCTTACAGTGTGTACACAATATTTTTGTCGGTCCTATAATATATATTACTGACACATTTGGACTGGACTATTTTTAATTTTCATTAACGACTGGGTGACATTTATACGTCCCGCATAATCATTTAAAATCCGTACCTGCACGAAAGCCGATTTAATTAATTTGTTCAACCTATGAGGAATCGGTATTCTTGTCACGATACAACGAATATTAACCTTTCTCGTAGCAAATTATGAAATTATTATTCAATGCTTTTAAACCATATAAGGCCAACCAAAATAATACAATGTTATTGTCTCTATAGTCACACGTAAATCTAGCTTGGGTATTTTAGGATAGCCAAATCGTTTGAATTTTTGAGGCACTTAAGGGGATATTGTGTTCATTTGCAACAATTTTTTACGGGCATAAAAGCTGTCTTGATGGACTATTAATACCAAAATAAAAGCACGTCAAACCTTAGCATTTATATATCTTTCATCCTGACTTTTATCCAAGGTTGTCATCGGGGTTTATTTATCAATATATGATCACGATCCCAGCTTCTTTATATTCGGGGTGACTTTTACTAATTCCACAGGCTGTTACAGTAACAAAATTTAATAACGTCACGCCACTCAGTCAGCAGACGACTGTCTTTCGAGACAGTCTACATTTCCTATTTGCTGCTTTGTATTCAGTTTTGTTTTTGTTTTTGTGACGAATGGAACATGACTGTGCCCTGTGCGTATTGAATACTGAAACGTTTCTCTATTGATTTTTAGAGCATTTAGGTTTAGACTACTATTTTATACTTTTCACCGATGTGGTTACTTGTATAGTTGAATTTTACTACACATGCTTACATTCGTATTTCGTGTAGCATATAGCAGATCATGACTCATGCTGGCATTACACTATGGTTTCTTTGGGTTGTATTCCTGATTGTTTTCAAATTCGAGTGAAATCTGTGTCACTACAGACCCGGGATTGTACAGCGCAGTGGACGCTTACGGATAGCCCCCCCCCCCCCCCGATCCATTCACTTTTTTTAATTGATTGTTTGTTTGTGTTTTCCTAAGTATGATGTCTTGTCCATGTATTTGTTTTTGTGTAAATTTTGTGTGGTGCAGTCCCCCTGCACTTACTATTATATCCATTTAACAAACACGACATAACCCCCATTATCAAAATTAAGTGTGTTTCTATCAATTTGTTAGGAATGAAAGGAACCTTAAAGAAATGAAATGACATGAGGTTTTACGTCCCACTTTTTCCTGTACCGACTCTGCTAATGAAGACGGGTGACGGACAGACACGGACCAAGGAACCCATGTTAAGCTAGGGGGTAATTATTTATGAATTTGTATGTATATTTACAAGACAGGAAACAAGTCCTTTCAGTTCGAATTTATAAAAGTCATTAGTTTCATTAAAGGATCTTCTTTCATAAATACAGGTTAACAAATCACTTTGAAATATAATTGTAGTCTTTGGACTAGAACAATACTTTTATTTCTCTCTATTTTACATTATTGTGTCAATTTCAAGATGTCCTTCAAAAGAAATGCATAGTTTAATTATATATTTACAGGCAAGATAAATGACACCCAATGCCACTGGAATTAATATGAGACAAAGAATGACAAAAGAAGTATATACGCGTTGTTTAATCAACGTGGTAATTATTGAGGAATGTGTCACAATATTGCAAGGTGTTATTTTCAAGTTAAACACGCAATGTGTAAGTCGTATTTAGCAACCTATTGTGTTTAGAAACGGAAACGCGTCTGAATCCTGAATAATCATGACCAACAACTAATACAGTTCGCATGTATGATATCAATGGGTAATAATGCATTTTCCTTTTTATCATTTTTTGGAGGGGGGGGGGTATCTTGGGGTTTGTTTATTTGGGGAATAAGACGCCCAACAGATGTAAAGAAGCGAGTATACCACGATGCACTAGCCCGGGACGCTTACTGCTGCATGACCGCTTGATTTGATGCTTTTGTTGTTTATTGCTTGCAATGTCTGTGTGTCCGCGGGTTTGTCTTATGGATCTTGTTTATGTGTGGTACCGTTGTCCTATATTTATTGCCTAATGTGACATCTTACAAAAAATTGTTTACCTTATACCAGATTTCTTGTTCAACCTTGAGAAATTTTAAATAACAAATCCTGTGGCTACCATTAATAATAAAATTAATCTAAAAAACTCATTCAGTTCCGAAAGTTTAATCAAACATGGTCTGCATAAATACTCCAGACTAATCTAAGACACAAATTAATTTGTAGTTGGTTGCCTGAAATTGACAACACAATAAAATGCATGCAGATGCAATTATAGACGGAAGTGTGCTCAATGAAATAGAACGCAAGACGCGAAAGAGAAATAAAAGAATGAATAAAAGCATATGGTTGGTAAAGTCCATCGAGTAATCTAAATGTTAATGGAGGTCACTAGTTTTATCTAGCTATATTCACTATGTCTGTTGGTAATCAGTCTCTTCATCTCCGTTTTCTGATTACTGCAGATCACCATCAAATCGACAACATCCCCATTTACATATCTCACGCTTCTAACCTTGTAGTATCATATTATCTCAGATCAAGGTTTCTACCAGCTCTTGATCGAGTACTCTGATGTAAAGGTGATGACACGTTGTGTCGATATGGATTACACCCGAAATGAAAAGGTGTTAAACGACCTTCTTTTCTGTGCCAACTGGGATGATGAGGACGGGTATAGGTCCCACAGTGTGCTATGAGGGAAATCTT